TATGAATTCAATTTGTGTTTTCTCTTACGTAATTCACGTTATGCAATGAGAGTCACCAACTGAAGAGCTCTCTCGAAATGTCATGGATCCGATAAATCTTGTTGTTTTTGCCATCTTTAAATGTGCACCTAGGAAACGTTGCTTTAAGTTAAATTAGGCTCATCCAAATGACGTAAATATGCACTGGAAGACGAGGCTAAGTGTGGAACACATATCGGATCATTACCGTTGTCTTATATCAATATGGAGAAAGTATTTTAGATGTTTTATCGTTTGACTGAACCGCTGTCTCCCTGTACCCAGTGGTCGCCGCATTAGGTTACGGAACAATGCAGGCATTAAGTCGCAGTTCCCGAAACCCATGACTTCGTTCACCCAGGGTTCTAATGCGAGCTTATTTTGAAAACTAAATCTGACGTCAATCCCCTGCTCCATACGACCCGGACTTTTTTTAGGTTAGCTAGCTTTGTCAAAGACACCGGGCTACTGTCACAGGGCCGACATTTGAACCTTTATCTTACAAAGTAATCCTTCCCGCGAAGCCGGTTCCGCTTCTCCGTCGACGGATAGATTTCTCCCGTGTCACCTACTCACTCGCAAACCTAATATTTCTAAACAGGATGGAGTGGCATGAATTATCGTAATTAATTGTGAACCAAAGTTTTCAGCAAAGAAAGGGGTAGTAATGATTTGTGGCCACCTAAACAGAAAACTGAAATACGAACGTCTCGCTCATTTAAAATGGGTGGCCTTGCGATAGATCTTTGAAAGGGTAAATATACCCATGCCTTAACTATAACACTAACCCTAACATAAAACCAAACCCTACATGACCTAAACCCTACACTAAAAACGAGCCTAAATCTTAATCCTTAAGATAATCCTGATCCTAGTCTGACCTTAACTTCAACCTTAACCCTTTACTTAACCCCAACACTAACCCTAATCCCAAACATAACTTTCCGGAAAGTGGTGCAAATACACATGTACTATGTATGCAGTGCAGGATTGTATAGCTGTCTTTGTTTGGAGCGTCTTCCAATGGCAGAGTTTCCAACCTCTGGGAAATTAGGCTAAAGTAACGGACACGAGTGTCTTCTACTTTAATAATTAATCACACCGAAATGTCTTTTACCGCCACCTAATCCGTCCGCGCCCCTCCCCCCCACACCTGGCTCCCGACCTCGAGATGCAGGCTGATTCTCCAAGCCCCCCCC